TATATATTTACTGTGACCATTGTGTGTTCTCAAACCAACATGAAACAGTTGTTATTCCACATGCAAACAGGACTGTTTAACTACAGTATATGGGCAAAAGGGGCAGCTACCCCAGGCAAACCAGAGCCAGGGACACCTCATGCCCTGGATGAGTCATAAGCCAGATTAGAGAGGAATAGATGCAGTGCTTGTTAGTATAGTTGGTGTTAAATATAAGATGGATGGGGGGTGCGGCGTGGGGAGGACGGACCTGCAGCCTTATTAAGAGTGATCTTGGCGACATCATCGAGATCACTTGTAAACGAACGAGCGGGTTCCCCGCTCTACATTTACCCCTGCTTGCCCAAAGCAGGGTTAAATGCAGAAAACAACTACCCGCCCGGCGCCCGGAACTGCATGTCCCGGGAGTCTGGAGATTCTACACCCCTCCCGCCCCTCTGCTTCCTGCCGCCCCAAGGATGGGCCACGGTAGCCTTGTGGGAAATCCAGCCCTGCTAATTGATACATATTTCACTGATATGGTGATAAAGAATGGGAAGCAACATCCTGCTATTCTTATCTCTGAATACTTTACAAGACCTGATTTTTATCTGATGCTGATAGTTTAAGCCATATCACATACCTACCATAGAATGCCTCAGTAGGTATCCCACCACACTGCTTACCGGTAAATCCCTTAAAGTGACATTAAAGTAAAAAAAAAATGTTCCCTCCCCCCATGTTAATGTTATCACTTACCTTAAATGATGTCTCTTATTCCGATCTTCTTCTTCTTTCCTGATGTTTTCACCTGTCTCTCCAGCGTTGTCGCGGCCCTCCGATCGAGCGCTGACTGCTCTGTCCCTCCGATCCAGCGGTGTCTGCATGCGGGTGCACGCGTCCATAGACTTACCTTGCATCTCTGCTCGTCTCCCGGCCGAGAATCGGAACTGCGCATGCGTCCGCCCCAAGATCCTTTGCGGGCCGTACGAGCAGTTCCTGATTCTCAGGCGGGAGCGCGCAGCGATAACGAGGTAAGTTTAAACCTAGTTAAAGCGTTTTTTTTTAAACTTCTCGCAAAATAAACGGAGGGTTCAGAACCCCTTTAAGATGGGTGCTGAAATGACAGCGGATGGGGCCGCTTAGATCAATATAGGAAGTAGGATGTCACCAGCATACCAGATATATGTGTTCAAGCAAACGTCTTTCATTGATGCATATAGTCACAAGAATGGCAACATTTCGGGGCCGCGCGGGGTCCCTTCATCAGGCTCTGTCAACATATATCGGGTGACATCCTACTTCCTATACCATAGAATGATGTCCCATGTCTGATTTCAGCAGTAATGTGTACAATGTGATGCCCTTTAATGTTCAGACATCACTATATTCATAGGGTTGTTTATATGAATGTAGAGCTGGACTCTTCTGGAAAGCCCCATATAGCAGCACTGGCAAATGGAGGGCCAGCACACTAAGCCAACAATCTGCTGTGATGCCCATGGGTTTACAGCAAAAATATAGGCTGGGGGTGTGTTTTGGACCAGGTTGTGCTGCTGGAGCAGTGACGGCTCAATGATCTGGCAGGGGTGCTTAAATCATAAAACTATCTAAACGGAATTACAAATCCTTTGCCAGGTAAAGCAGTACCCATATATGTTTTTCAATTGTGTATTTGGCTGCTTATATGGAGTTCAGCTTTTATTGAAATTGTGTTCTATATATTTGAATTGTTACCAATCATCTGGAAATTAGAAGCCAAGCATTCAAATAATTAACAAGTGGAAACATTTTTTTTTTCCATAGTGGCGGCTCCTGATTTACTGGATCCTAAATCAGCAACTCAGAACAACAAGCCAAGGCTCTCCTTTTCTGCCAAATCCACCGTTTTGTCCGCTCGAGAAGAGAGGGGCATAACACTGAATGTGATGAAATGGAAAACTGTGTCCACCGTATTTCTCCTGGTGGTTGTATACCTAATCATAGGAGCTACAGTCTTCAAAGCCCTGGAGCAGCCGAACGAGACCTCACAGAGGACTACCATTGTGATACAGAAACATAATTTTGTCTCTGAACATTCTTGTGTCAATGCAACAGAACTGGATGAACTTATACAGGTAAATTACTCAATATAGTGTTATGACTAAAGATAAAAAAATGAATAATGTTGAGACAAAAATAATTTTATTATAAGCTTTAGGTTAGCCAAAGATGGGCCTAAAACATGAAATGGGGAGACAGGTGTACATTACTAAACTGAATGACTGAGCATTAAGAAATTACTTGTCTGTGACCACGCTTAGGACTGTAGTTGTCATAGATAAGAAGGCTAAACACTGGGGATGTTCAGATACCAAGTACCGTACTCGGTAGAAGTACAGATACTTTTCCAGCTCCAAGACTAGACTGGAGAAAAATTCAAAAGTTAGGAGGCAGCTGTCATTTTTAAGGAACATACAGGGCTTTTGGGATTTGTACATCTCTGTTTTAATGTATGATTTGTTATATATACAGTATAGTTTAGTGTCATGTGACAGTTTTTCTAAAACAATACAGACTAATGATTTCAGGACAGTGGTGGAGCACCAGAGCCAGGTCAAAGCTGCAACCGCTGCAACCCTGGTAGTTCTAGTGATAATGCTAAGTATCGGCACTGGTATCTGAATAGGTATCTGAACTGGTATTTGAACATCACTACTGAACACACCAGGTCACAAATTATCTTTGGTCACTCACAAACCTCAGCTTTTTCTTAAGAACCTTAACAAAGTTGAAGGCCCCCTTGAAATATTGAGCCAGTATGGAGAATAAGTACTGGAAACGATCAATTCATTTATTTTGGAGTATAAACCCACCTTTCTTAAAGTTACCCTCATTCTTCTCATTGAACGCATGATGTCGTAACCCAAAACTTCTGACCTGAGTTGCAGATAGGAAGACAAAATCAGAAGTCAGAAAATGCCTCAAAATCCTCATCTTTCCTGGAAAACACATAAGAACTGGACAACGGACCAAAAGCCTAGGCATAGAAGCAGAGTTCAAATCGGCTAATTCTCCTTTTGAGGAGAAATGTCAATGACAAAACGTCTAGACTTTAATACGTTCAGATCGGCTGAATCTCCTTTTAAGGTTAAATGACAATGACAAAATGCTTAGGCTTTTGGTAAGTTGGGGTGTTATTGATCCATCTCAGCAAGACTGAGCAGCAGTTTTACAATAACATTTGGCACGCATTCATGTGTACATGCAAAAAGAAAAAGAAAACGTAAAGTGTTAACAAATTTACATACAACAGCCAGGGTCGGATTTACTCTCTCTGCTGCCCCAAGGCCAGGTTCCTCAATGCGCCCCCCTCGCCGCCA